AAGTAATCAAACAATACGCTATTAATAACCGCAATGGACATAATGCGGCCCTGGCAAGAATTTTCAGCACGCTTCACAACTCAGAATCGCCCAATAAGAACCGTTCTATCCACCTGCAAACGACTGATCACGCGTCTGGCGTTTTTTGTTTTAGTCCGTCTTGGATTTGACTTGACTTTAGTTAGCGCTATACGAGCGTTTTATCACTATAATTATGATTACCAGAATTAAATGAACATCTGCTAAAACATATGAAAAATATTTATAATTAAAATACTCGTTAAAATTATTAAAAAAAAAACTTAACCCCACATATCTCTTTTCATGTTGGATTTATCAAAAATTTATATGGGACATAATTTGGTCAAAAATTAATTTAAAAGTTTCTGTCATCGAAAAAATTCTTTGCACAGTGGCGCCACCTACATCTTGTATTATTCAAACAAATTTTTTACACAGTTGTGAAGCCAATCATAGAGGCTAAAAACTGGCCTTTACAGAATTTAAATGTCACTTTTAGTTTTCGAAATAATTGGCCTGGGAGTTTTTATTGAAATACCCTATATGATATGATTTACGTAGGTATATGATTTATGTATATGATTTTCCAAGAAATATTATGATTAATACTTTACCGAACTGGCCTATATTAGCTGCAAGATTATTAGAAATACTTTTGAATGTTTTGTAATTGCTATCCCATAAATTTTTATTTTCTGGTCAATATTCATCGATAATTATTATATTTTATTTAACTATAAGTTTATTTATAATTATTAATAATTAATAATTTTTTTTTAAATATCTTGCTATCTTTATATATACAATAATTTGTATCTAACACTAAATATCAACCATTACAAGGGTAATAGGTACCTTGGACACCACTGGTGTAGCTTGAGAGAGGCCTTTTAATATTATTTATCCCCACCTTTTTCGATCCATTTTTTAAATTAATCAATATATTTCCAATAAAAATTGGATTACTGCGCCATATAAATGTGGATTAGAAAGGGGAGAGAGAGGTATGACATGGGCTTGGGGTTGTGAGACTTGTTTGGTTGTTGTCAAGAGCGTTCGCGCGATTGTCAGCTACGTTGCAAGCCTTCATTTAGGGGCCTCCCCCTCTCTCTCTTCTTTAAATTTTTTAAGAGGGTTTTTTGATTTATTTTTCCCTCGAAAACATTCTTCTAAATTTTTCAACATCAACATTCTTATTCCGCCAATTTTCAAGACCTTTATTCTTCTACCCGGATCAAGCTGGCCTCAAATTTTTGTTATTTGACGGGGGCATCAAATCTTCCAGGAAAATAGGAAGACGCCTGTAAACAAGGCCGTGCTTTAGACTTATATTGTCACTATAAAAGTCGTTTGAAATGTCTAGTATGTGTTGTTTTATTGTGCAACACAAAAAAATTTTCTGAAATCGTTCAATTTGCATATATTTAGTGTCAGATATATCACACTAGCGGCGTATGTGATGATGGGTCCCAATATAGACTTATAAAGCAGCATTTTGTTGTCTGAGGATAGGGCACTGGAGCTTATGATGAGCTGATAGATCGTCTCCGTATAGCCTGCCCTTAGTTTTGGTAGGCTGGCGTTTCCAATTTAGGCGTCTATAAAGATAAACCCCCAAATATTTTGCGTAATCGCGAGATATTACGGCGCGGTCGTCTATTTGCGCATTGCTGAAGATCTTGTTGTTAATTACCTCCGATTTAGCTGTATTCACCTTAATAAGGTAAATCTTCACCTGGTCATTAGCTACCGACGATGCGAAGGAGTGGTCATAAAGCGCAGTGTCTTGTGGGACACCAGCTTTGACAACGAAGGTATCTGAGCATGTTCCTTGTACCCTTACCCGGAAAGATCGGTCGCGCAGATTGGAATCGAGCAGTTTGGTAATGTGAGGCGGTAGACCCAAAATGTGAGACTTATGGATCAGACCATCCGTCCAACAGTATCAAATGCCTTTTCCATGTCAAGCATTAGTATAACAGTAGTGTATACGCCTGCTTAACATCTTGGACAATTCGTACTACTTGGTGTCCGGGTCGCATATTCGTATCGGACGTAGCTTACTTCACATCGAAGTCAACCGAATCAAGTCGAAACTGCGTACATTATCGAACGAGCGGTACTGCACAGATGTATGAAATATGAGTCGTCCTTTAAGGCATGCATGTCGCACTTTGCTTGGTTGAAAACTGAAAATAGTTTAATTTTTGTGTTTTTCTTGGTGTTTTATTTTACAAAATATGAGTAATATTTATCCAGATAATTATGATTATTATTCATCAAATGATCATATTTTGAGAACAAAGTTAAAGTCTGAGGAGGAAATAAATGTATACAATTTAAAATAAATATACACCATAACCCTACTTTTCGTGCCATTTTAAATAATTTAACTAAAAAAGTAATTGACTTAAGATTGATTCATTCTTTATCTTGATACTTAACACTATAATAAAATGAACCAAACCAACCAACTCTTTTTTTTTGGGGATAGGGGAAATCCTCATGGACACCCTTTGTGGTCACGTTTTGTGACCACTCCAGGTAGTGCCCGACTCCTACCGGCTAAAACCCCTCTCTTTACTCTCCTACATCACACGGAACCACGTCAGTATTACCTCGTGCAATGCTTGAAATGTCGCTGCTCCTCTTTCTCGTCCTCCTCTTTGGTTCTCATAATACTTTCAATCAATATCCGTGGGTGGTCCCATTTCTCTTCGTCTGTTGTCATGATTGTAGTTAGGCTCTCCACCGATATTCTTTGGCAAACTGCTGCTTCCTCCGTCCTTCTCTCTTCCTCCCATCTCTGGCACCAGCATCATCCTCCTCCTCATTGCAGTATTTACATGTTGCCGCGTCTGCTTTCTTCATCTTATGCAGGTATTTTTGGAAACACCCGTGAGAGGTACAGACCTGAGTCAGATATTCGTCAATATTACCATGTTTTCTGTAATACCACGGCTCTAAGGTTGGTATGAGCCTGTGTAGCCATAGGTCCCTGTCGCTCGCACTCCATCTGGCCTGCCATTTTCGCGTACTTCATCTTTTTCCCCCTTGCTTCTTCCAAGGGTATCGCACCTTTCCTGTGCTAGCAGATCAAACGGTATGACCCTGCCGAGCACCCTTGCTGCCTCTTTTGATATCGTTTTATAACCCCTGCAAATTCTTATAGCCATCTTCCTTTGGACTCTGTCGCACATGTTTCTGTATCTCTACAGCTTCATCGCCTTTATCCACACAGGCACAGCGTTCAGCATTATGGACTCTGTGACAGAATTAAGGAATCTCCTTCTCGACTCACTTGCTCCTCCAGATCTTGGCAGTATTCGACAGAGTGCCGTCGCCGCCGCACCCGCTTTTCTGCACATGTATCTCATATGCTCGCCGTAGCTTAGTTTCTTATCCAGAAACACCTCAAAGTACTTTAAGTTATTCTTTGGCCGAATTATGTCGTCTCTGAGGCGGAAGGTAACATCTTGGTGCCTTTTTTTCCTACCATTAGCAGAGCTTCTGTTTTATGGGTAGCAAGTGTAGCCTGTTTTGGTCTATCCACTGGGTTACTTCATCCAGCGCATCGTTCATTCTTTCCATCAGCTAATTCTCATTTTTTGCCTTCGTCAAAACCACCAGGTCGTCGGCATATGCCACCATTTCCACTCCCTGATTGATTGACTCGGTAATACAGGACGTTCCACAGGGTCGGTCCAAGGACACTTCCCTGTGGCACGCCACTTCATTACTTTATCCATGTATTCATACGGTACATTACACCGTATCAAACAATTGATATTGTACAGTATTGTTCAATGATGCTCGTTCGAAATCAGTTAGTTCGCGTTTTTTCACCTGACAGAATAAAAACTCCGAGTTTAAAATCTTTTAAACAAACTATTAAAACGTACCTGCTAAAAAATGATTTTTATGAAATAGAGGAGTTTTTAAATGGTAATTTGAGTAATGCGTTTATTTAATGATTCCTTTTTTGATTGTATCGTTTTGTAACATTACGGAATACAATTTTTAATGTGTAATATTTGTACTAACATATCTTGAATTTTTTTGTTATTTTGATGTTTTATTTGAATCTATTTTGTATTTTTCTGACGTGCAAAAGTTTGTAAAAATTTATTGCATGAATAAACTATCTATCTATCTATCTAATTTTGCATGGATGGTACTTTTCTTTTTTCATCAGACGTAGTACTGAGCGTTGACTGACTTGACTTTCAGCTGCGGCTAGGCTAAAAGTACTGTGAGAATCTTCTTCTACACGTAACAAAATGTCAATTTTTGCGTCTTCACTAATTGTCAGACGATCAGGTTTTGGAATATCTTTGACATGTTCAGTCTTTCTAAATTTCTGTTAATTTTACTATCAGTAGAACGAGTAATAGGCCGAGCTGGATACTTTGCATTAAACAAATAGCATGCTTCTTGTTGGGTTCTAGTTTTATTGCCACATCCTACGAGAATTAAAACTTCAATTCGCTGTGTTTTTGTCAAATAAGCCATACTTGAAAAGATTTAAAAACCGCTGAACACTCGACTAAAAGTTTGTACCTGTAGTAGCCAATTTTTGTTTAAAATCACACAAATTACAAGTTACAAAGTCACAATTTTACTATTACGGGTACTTGTAATAACAAATCTACAAGTACAGGTGTTTCGCAAAATTTTTTAACAATATTTAAAATATTTTCACAATAATTGTGGAAAAATACACATGTTAGAAAGTAATTAATTTTGACGCGTGATTGTAAGTTTTAATTATGTCCTTAAACAAGGAAGGAAAGATGCAATTTTTGCACGATGTGCTATCCGAAGAAAGTTTTGTTTGGGAGTTTCTCAGATTATTATTAAAATAGGATTCCCATAAAAAAATAGAATTATATATCTGGACACCCAGTGGTGCTCAGTTTAGCGTTTAGCTGTAAATTTATCTTCCCAATTGTTATCATTTGTATAAATATATTTTTAGAAAAAAAATTGACAACCGCAAAAAAACTGGCAGCGAAGGTGGGCCAGACTGCAAGTTGAATGAAACGGATAATTTAATCATTGATATCCTTGGACGTGATACCGCACTTGTTAAAGGGCTTTCTTCAAAAGAAACATGGGAAAAAACGATCCCCTCAGTTGACGAAATGGGTAAAGAAAATAAAGAAAATGAAATGCCTTCAACACCTGCCTTAGTTAACACTGTTAAGGCAAAGAAGTCATGTACAAGCGTACCAGTGCATAACGAATCTGAACTGCGAGTAAAGAAACTTAAACTCTCGTTGGAGATTATGGAAAAAGAATCCTACTTAAAAAGCCTGGAAATATTCAAACAAGAAAAGGAGTTAGGGTTGCTTCCCTCATATTTCACCGCCATATTCCATGCTGCGCAACAAGAAATACTCGTGCAACATAATAATTTATACCTACTTATAATTACATATTATTAACTAGCAAAATATTAATTAAAAAAGGTGGTTAAAAAGTGGTTTATCTGAAAAAATCTAGTAATGCTTGCAGTCTTCTTGCGCCTGCAGGTTGTGCATCTTCGGCATTTACTTTCCCATTTTCTTCGTTGGCGTCTGCTGCTGGAGGTTGAAGGACACTCCGAACATCATCTTGAGTCCTTGCAATGTTGCAGAGAGTAAAGCAACACTTGATTACTTCACAGGCAAAAGGAGTGTTTACCTGTACTGCCCAACTATGGAGAAAGGCAGTAACTGCTAAACAAGAAATCTGTGGAAAATTGGCATAAACTAAATTTTTATAAAAAGCAGTAGATATTTAATTGATTTATTTAACTTATAAGATAGTTTACTGCATTTCTTAGTTAAATTAAGATACAAAATGTCCATAGCTTTATCATAGCACAAGAAAACGCATTAAGAATTTTTTTGTAGTTAATGCCTTTCTCCATAGTAGGGCAGCGTAGGTAATTAGGACACGGAAATTTTTCCTTTAAAATGCCAAACGAGTTTTCCAGAACACGCCTAGTAGACTTGTGAGCACGATTGAATCGAATGACTGCAGGGTCACCAAGATTACGGTTCGTTGGAGGGATCAGCCATTCTTTTAATGGATAGGCAGAATCGCCTAGTATAAAGCCATCAGGAATAGGTCTCAAACCATCTTGAAAACCACGATGCAGTGTACTGTTTCTGTAAACTCAGGCATCGTTTACAATGCCTGGCCACCTAACCACATTCTGAATGTCATTTGGCCAGTTAACAATTTGTGCAAATATGATATTATTTACAGCCCTCACAACAGCGTGAACTGATCTACAGACACCTGCTTTTGATATGCCATGCATATCAGCAACTCCATAGTATTGACCTCCATTCCCTAGCCAATGGAGAGCTGCACACAATTGAACTCTTTCTGACAGGGCCTCACTTTTTCTTGTGGCATGTTGAAGTATGTGCCCTATGTCTGCAAGAAGAGATTTTATGCTGACTGATGACATTCGAAATCTCTCATTGAACTCGTAAAAGGTGACAAAATTTAAATTTGTTCTTAACCTAAACGTCCGAGGTCTTCGATGACGGCGTGGTTGTTCAAGTAATTCATCTTCAGAGGATGATGATTCCCACATTATAATTTTTAATATTTGACAACACAAATACACAAATAAATTGATTTTACAAACCTCTAGATGTGGGTGAAAATTTTTCTTATTTTTACCTGCGTAAAGTTGTAACTTGTGACAATACCTAAAACTACAAGAGTAATTCTATAAATACGTTACTTGTAAGTAGTGAAAATTCGCTGGTTGTTACAAGTCTTGTAACTTTGTCTTTGTGAAACACTAGTACTTCTGATTTATTACAGATTGGTTAAATTTTACTGGTGACTTTGTAACTTGTTACTTTTGTGAAACGGGCCCCTGCTCTTTGTAGAACATAAAAAATAATAAAAAAACAAGTACGACTGAAAAAGTTTATACCTTATATAAAATATTTAAATATTTTATAAACATTTCTGCGATAATAACTTTTTTATTTTGTAAAAAAATCACTAAAAATATAAACTTTTCACTTTTAAAAATTAATATCTCCGAAACTATCAGCCCACAAGATATACATGTGCATATTGCTAAAACCAGAATTTCAAAACCAAAAAAAAATTGGGGGTGCCATTAAAAAAAAATTGGCGATGACGTCATAGCTTCTACAAAAATGGCGCAAAATATAAAAATGTTACAATCATAATGTGCGTAATTGAAAAACAAGATTAACGTGTTGAAGGATTAGTTTTGAATAGTTACAGGAAATTTTTAAATGAATTTTTTCCATATATATATAGACATAATTTTGAAACGAAATGTTATATTTTTAATACCCTTCGATTTTTAAACACATTTATCACCATCAAATTTGAAAGTGTACATTTTTGACCGTAAACCAACAAAATGTGTAAAGATCACACCATTTAGTTTGTCTTTCATTAACCAAACAATTTTCTTATTTACCAAAGGGATATTCCACTGGATATTTTTTGGATAATCCTCATATACATCATTAGAAGGTGTTTGGTTTCGATGGTAATTTGGTTGCTATTTATTGTAAAAATATATAATAAAAAACTTCATAAATTCAAGACGTCAATTTTATCTAAAATAAAAATAAGTTAAAACAATAAGAGAAAACTACAAACAAAAAACATTGCTCCTTCGAACCGGATACTTGTTCCATGTTATTCAATTTCACCTCCCCAAAGGCATGTATGTATTGGGTGATTATCCTTCCGATCCACGTTGACGAAGAACGATTGGTTCAGGTTTAATTTGCAAACCTGGTCTATACATTTGCTGCGGTCGTTGCCGTTTCGACTTTACCGCATTGTACTGGGTAAGCTTTCATTTTGCGTTTTATGGTAATATAAAGATTCATATTCAATTGGTGTTTGATAAATTTTATATTTTGACATTTATTCTGTCAGAGTGTTTGCTATAATATTGCTTCAATTAATTTATGATGCCTGAAGATTTAAAGACTTTGATTAAGCGCAGGGGTATATTTAAGGGTTGTATTACCAGATTTGGTACCATTTTTCCACTGTTTCCGATGAAACAACTGATGCTGAAATTGAAGCTAGGCTATGTAAATTAACTGCTAATTTTGATGAATATGGAATAATTCAAAACCAAATTGAAATATTGCATGATGAGGAAGATCCTAGCGAACGTATCGAGGTTGAAAACCATTACTTTAACTTAGTTGGTGCTGTAAAGACACGCTTAAGATTATCTAATAAAGATGAATCTCCTTTTTGTTCTTCGTTTAACCATTCTCTTAATGATTTACATTAAATTGCCACAAATAAATTTACCAGAGTTTTCAGGCAATTATGAAGACTGGGTTCAGTTTTATGATTCGTTTAATGCACTTATACACTCAAATACGCAGCTTACAAATATCCAAAAATCTTAGGTCGGCCCTAAAGGGTGATGCTGCCTGTGTTATTCAATCATTAAAAGTTTCAAATGAAAATTATTTTATTGGGATTTGTTTGGGACAGGTTTGAAAATAATAAATTAATTTCTAATTCGCATATTAAAAAGATTTTTGATTTGCCAAAGCTTTACAAAGAGTCCCATGTTCAATTGCGAAAATTTCTCGACGTGTTCTCTGCAAACTACAGATGTTTAATGTCTCTTAAGCAGCCTGTAGATCATTGGGATACTATTTTAGTGTATATTCTTACTTCTAAATTAAATTTAGAGACACGAAAAAAATGGGAATGTTCACAGGGTAAATCTATTCCAACTTTGGATGATTTGCTTAAGTTTTTAACAAATAAGTATGAAACTTTAGAAAATTTGGAAATAAAAGAGGTTAAATCACCTTCTACCAAATCACACACATATTTGTCCGAAGAAAATACTGTAGTTTCTGCACCAAAATGCCAAGTTTGTAATGGCTCGCATGTAATATTTTATTGCAATCAGTTCTTGGCTCTGAAACCCTTAAATCGGTATACCAAGGTCAAGGAATTAAATTTATGCACTAATTGTCTTAAGCCAGGACATTCATGTGGCAATTGCGCCTCCGGTCCTTGCAAACATTGTGGAAAAAAGCACAACAGTGTATTACATTTTCAAAATAAAAATCTAAACTCGCAAAATAAAAGTCAAAATACTTTGCCTTTGAACAAAAATATTGATAATTCAATAAATAATGAGGAGTGCATTATAAATACGCACTGTGCATACCCGATAAAATCATTGATAATGCTTCAAACAGTTCAACTGGAGAAAAAGTTAAATGCAGAGCGCTCTTAGATCCAGGGTCACAAAGTAATTTTATCTCCAAAGATTTGTGTAAAAAATTGAATTTATCAAAATCCAAAATAAATGTTCCAATTACAGAAATTAATCAATTGCAAAATATTGTTTCTCATATTACAAATGCCAAACTTGAATCTCTTCACAATTCATATAATAATAATTATCTTTTTTGGTCATTGAAAATATCACAGGAAATATTCCAAATCAAACATTTGATAAATCGTATGTTAATGTTCCGAAAAACATAACTTTAGCAGATCCTGAATTTAATATTGCTAATAAGGTTGATGTTTTGCTTGGGGCAGGTATTTTCTTTGAACCAGTCTTTACAAACTGGCGTTTTTCCTGATAACTGGAAGATCTCAACTGTCATCCCTGTTCCCAAAGTTCCCAACACCATACTAGTAGAAGAACATACGCCAATTAATACTGTTCCTATTTATGAAAAAATCCTGGAAGTTGAAGTTAAAGATCAACTGGTAAAGTTTTGTGATACTAACTCTGTGATAATAGAAAACCAGTCTGGATTTAGAAAATCACATTCATGTGAATCTGTGATATTAAATGAGTGGTATAAATGCCTGGAAAATAATGAGTTTGTGATAGCTGTGTTTTTAGATTTTAAACGTGCATTTGAAACTGTAGATAGGGATCTATTGTTGTGTAAGTTGGAAAGGATGGGATTGGGAGGCAGTGTTCTGGGTTGGTTCAATTCCTATTTAAGTAATAGATATCAAAAAGTCAAATATAAAAATTCCCTATCTGAACAATTAAAAACTAAATATGGGGTGCCACAGGGCACTGTACTTGGTCCTATTCTTTTTAACATATATTAATGATATAAGTCATTATGTAAGGGATTGTAAATTGCATATGTTTGCAGATGATACAATGATCTATGTGACAGGTACTAATTTGGATTATATGTTTGAGTGTATTAATAATGATCTTAAGTTATTGTATTCTTGGCTCTGTGATAATAATTTATGTTTAAATTTTGGTAAATCCAAATATATGTTAATGGGTAAAAAATATGCTATTTCAAAACTTGGAAATGTTTTACATGATGTTGAAATAGACAATGTTTCAATTGAAAAAGTTAATGAAATTAAATAT